TAAAATACCGGGTATTGCACCCCTTCCTTGCAACGAATCAGAACGGCACTTGTCGCGACACCAGATACTCCAAGATATAGAAATAACTTTTCTTCTGGATCCGGGGCTGACAGGACTGGTGGATTCTGCATATATTCCTTCAAATGAGTCAATGCTTGTCGTTACTCATCCCCCCAGACCTGCCTTCCATGGCTCCGAATCGTGTCAAAGAACGGCTTGCAGTGATCTGACAATTTTGAAATGAATCGACTTAATGCAGCTATTCGTCCTGTGAGGGCTTGCACCTCTCTGATCGTCTTTGGCTCGGCATTCTTAATCAAAGCCTCTGCTTGAGCGGGGCTAACTTCGATGCCTCTGCGGTTGACCACGTGTCCCAAAAACTGACCGGAACTCACACCGAACGAGCACTTGGTTGGATTGAGCCTCATCCCATATCGCTTCAGTACATCAAATACATCTTGCAGATGCTTCAGATGATCATCTTTCTTCCTACTCTTTACCACCATATCATCAATATAGGCTTCCACAATCTTTCCCATTTGATTCTTGAAAATTTTGCTAACAAGTCTTTGATAAGTTGCTCCCGCATTCTTTAGTCCGAAAGGCATAACTTTGTAGCAGTATGTTCCTCGCTCGGTTACAAAAGAAGTTTTTTCTTCATCTGCGGGGTCCATAGGGATCTGATTATAACCTGAATAAGCGTCCAGAAAGGTTAAACGCTCATACCCGGTGGTGGCATCCACCATTTGATCAATCTTAGGCAGCGGGAAGCTGTCCTTCGGACAGGCTTTGTTCAAATTGGTGAAATCAATGCATACTCGCCATCTCCCATTCTTCTTCTGCACGACAACGACGTTGGACAACCAATCAGGGTAGTGCACTTCTCTGATAAATCCCGCATCAAGCAGCCTATCGACTTCTTCCGCTATGATTTGATTGCGTTCTGGAGCAAATCTTCGCTGCTTCTGTTTCACTGGTTTGAAATTGGGATTGACATTCAGGGAATGACAGGATACGGAGGGATTAATTCCAGGCATGTCTAGGTGACTCCATGCAAATACGTCGGCATTGCGGGACAAGAAGTCCACTAGCTCTTGCTGCTCTTCTCTGGTCAGTCTTATACCTATTCTGGTAGTTCGTTCTGGCCTGGACTGATCGATCTGCACATCCAGAAGGGGCTCTTCGGTCAAGTCAACTGACTCCTCCACCTTGTTCTGCTCGGGCGGAGGTTCCTGTAATTGCTATCTGGGGCTTGCCGATCGGACGGACGCCTTCCCTTTCCCAGCAGACTTTAGTGTGACGGAATAGCACTCTTTGGCTGCAACCTGATCCCCCCGAATGTCTATCACTTTATCTCCATCGAGTCCGAGGCACCTCATGACCTGATGCAGAGTTGAGGGTACACCTTGGACTCTGTGAATCCATCCTCTTCCCATCAGGAGATTATACGAGGGGTGAATTTCTACAACCACAAAAGTTTCCATAAGAGCTCGTTCTGCAGCTTGAACTTCTACTTCCACCATCCCGACGGGCTCCACCCTCTTGCCATCGAACCCTAACAGGGGATTTCCAGTGGGCTTGAGCCTCTCTGGTTTAATATCGAGCCGATCAAATGTGTCCCTCGGCATGGCATTCGCGCTGCTCCCGGGATCGATCAGAACTCTGCGCACCAAGCAGTCCGCCACTGTTAAACTGACTACCAACGGGTCTTCATGGGGGACTTGAACACGCTGCAGGTCTGTCCTGTCGAACTTTATCTGCATCGACGTGATCTGCTGGTGTAGAGTATTCACACTGCTGACCCTTTTCTTCATCTGCGCCTGCCGTAGGCGCGCTCGGAGTAGCTCATCTGACTCTTCACTAGACTCGGGTCGACCGTGGATAGCATTGATTATACGAACTGGTTGTGAATTGTGGGAGCTTTGTTTGTGACTCCTTTTTATTTGTTCCGCTGGTCGATTCTGCTCTATCGCCGAGCCTTGAACATAACTCGCGAACTCCCCTCTAGCTATCAACATCTCCACTTGCCTTCTCAAATTCCTGCACTCGTTAGTCTGATGACCGAAATCGGAATGGAAAGCACAATGTTTAGTCTGATCCCTCTGTTCGAGGGGTTGCCTAATTGGCAGTGGTGGATGAAACTTATCTTTGTTCTCCTGATATAGCCTCGCCAGAGTGACCTTCAGCGGAGTAATCAGCTCTTCCTCCCTGGACCTCTTTTCTGCCTTCCAGGAGGTCTGACGCTGCGGCTGAATTTGCTTCTGCCTGATCTTTGCCTTGGACTTCTCCTCGGTCGACACGAGCGATGCTGTCCGAGCATTGGCTGCCTCCTCTTCTTCTAGGCGCACAAAGCCGTCGGCTCTTTCATTAAGTTCATCCATAGTCGTCGGCGTGTTCACTACCAGACTGGTATGGAACGGAGTGCCACGTGTCATGGCCAACTTGAAGGCTTGAACCGCTGTAGAAGGGTGGCATTCGATCACGATACTCTTAGTGAGATTAAACCTGGTGAGAAAAGCCTGGAGACGTTCATCTTTGTGCTGTCTCATTGTGAATAGGCTTGAGATGTCCTTTGGCGGGCGCTTGTTCCCATAGTACTGACTTATGAACCGATCGCACAGATCTCGGAAGCTACCAATGGAGCTCTTAGGCAAGTTCTTGAACCAGTTGAGCGCCGGTCCAGCTAGGCTTGTAGGGAAACATTTGCACATTAAAGCATCGTTTTCCGTATTCAGGGCCATCTTCAACTGGATATGGTACACATGATCGATCGGATCGGTTGTTCCGTCAAACAGAATAAACACTGGCATAGCAAACTTCCTTGGATGAGGGGCATTCAGGATCTCGTCAGTGAATGGTGAATCAACCGTTCGAGCTGCGGATCGGAGCGCTTCATTCTCTCTTTGGCGGCCAGTGGTAGCTCTGTGGGCTACGGTTCTGCTCTCCGAACCGCGATGAGTGATTGTAGCCATGGAAGGCCGGTAGGACGGATCGAACGACCGTTCCTCCATGAGCTCTCTTTGCCAAGGCGACGCAACTCGGCGGCAATCAACCTCTGTCACCTCCTCTCGGTTGAACCTTTCCTGATGTGGATCTAAGGTCATGGCTTCATTCTGTCTGATCTGCTCATGTCGCGGATCAACGTGAGTCGATCCTTCGTGATCCTCAACTCGACGAACATTTGGCGGCAAATTGTCCATCATCCTTTCATCACGGTGATGAGCTGACTGATTGTTCTCGTCCTGCTCGCCCTGATGCGCGGTATTAGATTGAACACCTCCTTCACCGACCGGAAGTGGATGCGAAACCGCAGGTATTTGCTGATGTTGCATTCCAGCTTTCAATTCTGCATTCTCTTTTTTGAGAGCTTCGATCAAGTTCATCAACTCCTCAAGCTTCGTTTGCTGGATAGCCTCCATCGGATTGGAGCTTTCACCTATCATTATTCCTGAACGGAGTAAAGGCATTAATCTCAGATTCGTGAGTAGATCTGAGCTTCGTGAGTGCGAATTTTTCAGATCTGGTTTCGAATTCTTCGAATTATGCTTACGGTTGACGAGATCTGAATTGTCCGAATTCTAAATCTGTCAGATCCTGCCACAATCGAGCAACTCGTTGTTGCTTTGTTCCGAAGCCACTTCCGCCAAAGCAGCAGGAACTAAGATTCTTCCAGAGTAGGTCACAATCGCTCAGATCTGGATTCAACTCCCAAAGATTGAGTTTCGTTTTCACGAATTGGTCTGAATCCACACGATATTGATCAGTTGATCAATCAATCTTCAACGCTTCCCACAGACGGCGCCAATTGAAGATGCAAGAAATTCATACTCTCTTTCTCTCTCTAGAATTCTTACATTTCAACCCAAAAAAAATCTTTCCATTCCTTCTCCTATTTATAGATATTTACAAATATTGACGGATTGCTGGATCTGGGCCTGTTCCTCCATAAGTCCTGGTCACCTTTGATGGGCTTATTCGCGTTCGGCCCATATGGCAGTGTCTTTTTATGGGCCGACCCAGCTATACGGACCGGATGTCGTGTTTGCAAGTCATATCCGGCCCATGTCATCCTGGGCCTCCTCACTCACTATCAATATTTGATGTACAAAAACACAAAACTTCAATACATATGTAGTATATGATTCATTATGATAACGTATGATACTGATAAACCGAATTCATAAAAGGGAACTGAGCAAATAATTAAATAAATAACTTTATTTTTGTCCTTTTTAATTTTCTTCTTTACATTCATATAAAGGCCTTCCCTCACGTGCACCATGTGTGTTTTTTACTAGTAATTATAATACATGGATGGCTTGTATCCATTAACTTCAAGGGAAATACAAAAAATGTAAACCCCTCTGCAGAAATAGTTATCAGTTGAACGTCAAAAGCGCAAAGAATGCCCGCAAACAGCGTTACATAAAAACTTGAATAGATATTGCTAACACTTTCTTAATCTCTTGGATGATATTGGTTCTTAGATCCTTTTTTCGTTTTTGTATTAGGGACGCGTTCCCCTTTTGAACGCTTTTCTAATATACTTTTTACTTATAAAAAAAAAAATATTGCTAACACTGTAACCAACCTATTTACCCACACTTCACACCTTTTAGATTTCAAATAATATTCAATTTTAAAAAGAAAATTCATGTTATACTCTATTACTCTGATCATAAATACAACCCAATATCAACTTAGTGAAGAGAAGCACAAAATCAAAAAGGAAAAAAGAAAAAGATATCAAATCAAAAAGAAATATACACTACCAAATTATCAAAAGTTATTAGCAAAATGGAAGCAAGAAACTGGAAGCCCACACAAGCCTGCCACTAACCACTCAATCTAGAAACAATCTAGGAAAACATGCTATTTTACGACTTCTGACTAGAAAAACACATGGAATTATAAAAGAATAGCAAAACACATCTCATTTAAATCAATAATATCATAATATATATGTATATAATTAGATGTCAAGGCTTGTCAACACTTACAGTCCAAGAAGGAACGGCCAAACCTCTGCCCTAATACTTGGATCAACACCCTGCAACAAAGTTATAAGGGTTAGAACTCCAAAAAGGGTAACAATTACATGCATGGAAACACAGGCAAGTAGGCAACAGGAAACAAGGTTCATAGAAAAGCATATATGTATACATTGGCTGATTAAATTTAATAACATACCCCACTTCGAACTTTCTTCAAAAACTTGACGCCACCATCAGAGAGTCTTCCATCAGAATCAAAAAAACTTTTCCATTGTTTGGGCAGAAGGGCATGTTTCCTTCTCCTTCGAGACCAAGGCGATTTAAGGCTACCCCTGCAAGCAAATACATAGAATATTTAATTTTCCACAAAAAGATACCAGTAATGACCTGAGATGCATAAGCACAAGCAAGGAAAAGAAATTGTTATGCACTGTAGAAAAAGGAATATTGTTCAAAGCAATGGCAAATTCTCCTTTTTAGCAAACTTAGTGTATCCCCATATGCATGCATCACAAAAGTTGAAAGTGGTTGCCATGATAAATGACGGAAGTAGAAACAGGTCTAGGGTAAAGATTGTGAATGAAAAAGTGAAGACTTTGCTTATAATAGCTTCTTGACTGAATGTAACGCTGCACCATGCATTCAGAATCAATTGAATTTTTAAGGATAGGATGTTATGTTATTGAAAAAAAAAAAAAAAAAACAACTTTGTGAAACTATGAAGTTCCAATCATTTCAGCTAAGGTAGTCAAAATGTTCGTGAGAAACCAGATTGAGGTGCTAATTCTATCATGGAAGTATATATCAAGCCGCCTGCTGAGAATTCTAGGAAAAACATCATTTCGGACCACCCAATTACTAATGCTACTGGAATAGATTCTAAATTTGCTACCATTTGAGAACTTCCAAGCCTATTGACTACACAATGTATCCTTTTTGAACTCACAACTTCTATATAGAGAGAAAGACAGGGACGAATCCAACTGATAACTACTTGAACCAAATTGATAGACAGAAGCATCAGTTAACAGTTACAGATCGAGATCTGAAGGGCAAATAGAATAATAGCCAAAGACGATCGAAGAGAAGATGGAAAGGAACTCACCGATCAGAGGAAACTGGTGAGGATGAGGAAGCAACGACTAAGAGAACCGATCGCAAAAGTATCCACGACGAAGATGACGACGACGGTGAGGAAGAATTTGACGAGGACGATGACGGTGACGACGAAGTGTGACTCCGCCGGAGCGCCCTCATTAAGGGTTGTTTCTGTTGTGTCAGCATCTTTATAATCTATGTATATATCTAAAAATTGGTCGATTTGTTTCTAGGGTTTTGTTTGAATTTTGGTGTTGATGAGGAATTGGAGCGGAAATTACTGATCGATTGTGTTTGTTTACCTATGCGAATAGACGAGAGTGGCGGCCAAGGCGAGACCGGCCATGGCCGTCACGGCGACAGCTATTCCAACATTGGAAGGCGAGCCCGTAGCCCAGAAGCCTCCGCCACCACCAGCACCGCCGAAGAGAGCCCCGTTCCTTCCGCTGCCAGTGCTTCCCTCGACGAAAATGATCCCTCCTCCAGTCCGACCATCACCGCCGGAGAAGATGAACATGAATGAGAAAACCACCACCACCGTTAAAATTACGGTAACGCCCTCACTTGTCGTCACTCTCAATCTCCTCAACACCATTACCAACTGAAACCCCTCTTCAACTGCTTTACTCTCTCTCTCTCTCTCTCTCTCTTCAAAGGTTGTATTAAAATAATAATAATTAATAATTGCTAACAACCAAAATAGGGTAATTTACACGTACTTCCTATATGGTTTGTTATAATTACATATAACACTTTTTCTGTTTCGAAAACGATGTGAATTCCCTTTGATTTTTAAAATATTCTACACGCACCTCTCTTTGTTACGGTCAATGTCAGTCAACTGTAAAAAAATAACGACATCAGCTACTATTTTTCATGAAATATCAAAAATATCCTTACTTATATTATTTCATATTATATTTAAAAATATATATATATATATAAGATCAGAATTCCTCACTTTCTCTCTCTAAATTATTCAACCGGTGACCATATTGTAGATCTTTTGAGTTGAATCTCAACAGATCAAGTTATGTGAATCCATGGTAGTCTTATTATGTATATTTTATTTCCCTGTTCATTTTTCCAAAAAAAATTCTCGGATCAAGCAAGTCTTGATCGATTTGTTATTTGAGTTTGTTATCATTCAATTAAAGCATTGTGAGAAAGAATTGTTCTGTGTTAGCTCTCGCCCATGAAAGATTGGGACTTTTCTTTGTGAAATTCTCCAACTATTAGTTCAATTCTTAGGTTGTGTAGTATCAGTGTCACTGGATTGGTCTGAGTTTTCAATTTTTTTCTTCCAATCACAACTTTCAACTAATGGGTTTTTTCGTTCATCCATTCTCTGGTTGAGATTGGTGTCATCCTTTTCGGAATCGAAATCATCTTGGTTTTGTTATGTTATTATTCTGATAAAATCTCAAGAGACTGATAAAATCTTAATAACCAAATCATATTTTCCGGCGAGAATGCATACGTGTTCAGCCTGCAATCAAAAGTATGATCTTACCAAGCAAATACCACAAGTGAGATAATATTCTAATTTCACAGAATCCGGAAGCCTCAAAGTCAACACGGGCTCTGTGGCGCTCAGATCACAAAAGAATGGACTGGAAATTTCATCAGACCCTCCACCATATGATTTATTGAAATTCATATAGAAAGCTCCTAGTTCTATTAACCAAGGTGATTGCAGAATCTCTGTGTGTTCAGCCTGCATCTTGGACTTAAAGTTCCTCCCATTGACAGAGCTATGGACCTAAAAGGGAAGAAAATATATATATAAATAAAACGAACCTCTTTCAGCACAATGAAATCCTAAATACTGGTTAAATCCAATTGGGGCAAAACCATTTTATGCTTACTTTATCATATTTCTTAAGAATTTTTTGTATAGCAATAGCATTCATCATTACATATTCAATCAACATCTGACCCTCCTGTACCATAGCTTGCTGGTTGTTTGCGAAACACTGCCGCAAGCGCAACAAATATCTCTGCATTCCAGAAGCAACATGAAGATGGAGAAGATGTCTAACTCTTGAACTGAAGCATCCAACTCTCTCTCTCTCTCTCTCTCTCTCTATATATATATATATATAGAGGGTACTTCAGTCATTTATCATAAAAAATTAAGGGCATTTCAGTAAATTAGTCAAATCCGTTAGTGTATTTGACGGTCTATCACAAATAAGGGAGGTTCGTATAAGATATTTTAAAAAATAGAGAGGATCACGTAATTTCAGGAACAGAAAAGGTACCGTCTGTAATTATGACAAATCAAAAGATTTGTGTAAATTACCTACCAAAATATTACTATTTATTTATTGCGTCTCTCTCATGGTCTCATATTTTGTGAATATAGATTTATAACGTCTCTCTCATGGTCTCATATTTTGTGAATATAGATCTCTTTTGATGTCTCTTTCTCTCCACTCTATCTACTACCTTCATTTTCTCTCTCCATCAGAGGGGTAATATTATAATAGCGATCAACTAAAAAAATTACTGCTTATTTAATATCCCTATCTATCTTTTTTTAGTAGTAATAATTTTAAAACTCACTCTATAAAATAGATCGGGATTGAGAGAATACGGTCCGTGATTGGTACTTCTGGCCCGGTCCATTTTGGCCCATTTGACTTTGCAGGCCCATACTCATTCAACCTCGTTGTAACTAGGAAGGAAAATTCTGTGATTTATCATTAAAACAAGGGCGAATTGAAAAAAATCCTCCCTGACTGTTATCCAATTGCAAAAAATTCTTATAAATATTTTTTTAACTGTGTTCCTCTAAGTACTTGTTTGATGGAATTTTTCGAACCAAATTATTCCTTAATAGATTATTCTTCAAAGATATTTTTTTTTTCTCCCTCTCTCCCCGTTAAACAAAGTATGTGAAGCAACAAAGAAAAATTCCTCAAAAAATAAAAAATGGAAAGCCAATAAAATTATATTTAAATTATGTATAATTAATAAAATAAAATTGAGTTCAACCGCATAAAAGAGAAAACATAATGTCATAGTGATCTCATGTAATGTCAAACAATATTCTTTGAATTCAAAATGATTTTATTATTTTTTTATTATTATTATCTTTTATAATTCAAAAGCATTTTAGAAGGACAATTGGAAATAATAAGTTTATTTAGGACTGCAAAACATATCACATCATATTATTATTATTTTAATTTCAACTGATATTAATCTTGGTATTCCAAGAAAATGACTTTCAAGATGGACCATATTACGTACAATACACAACCATAACCATGTGCATGAGTAGGTGCAACAACCAAAACATAATCATTTTTTTCCTATACCACCTTTATATTATTAACACAAAATTTCAATAGGAAGGTACGGTACTAAAATTTTTTGGATACTCCAGTTGAATTAAATGAAAATGTAACGTTTCCGTTTAATAGAAAGTGATTATTTCTTATAAAAAAAAAAAAATTAGTTGACTATTTATTAGGCAATGTCATTATATAAATTTTGAGATATAAATTTATTTCTTGTTTATGTATGTGAGATATAAATTTTGTAAGGGTAAATTACAATGACCTCTCATTAGGTTTCACTTAATTGCAAATAAATTTGAGGTTTACATTTTTTTTTGCAACGTGCCCCTTGAGGTTTGACCCAATTTTGCAAAGACCTCCTCCTCCGTACAAAAAGCAGTACTTTTTGTCAGAAAATTGATTTGAAAGGACAAATATACCCTTCAGCTAAATAGAAAAGACTTTATTACCCTTATAGTGCCATTAAAATAATAATAATAATAATTAATTGAATCAATGGACAAAACAACACCTTATATGTAAATGAGATCACTAAATGTAAATGGAATTAAATGAATTATATTTGAGTAATAAATGTAATTAAAATGCATTTAATTAAATAATTACAATAATTATAATGTAATTAAAATAAATTTAAAATATTTTAATTATATTTAATTAAAAAATAGTTAAATCATATTTATTTAAATAAAATAAATCAATAATTATTTGTTAGAATAACTAAATTAAATAAATTACAATTTTAATTTTACAATTAGGGTTAGGGTCACCAATGTGAATTACCACCACCACCAACAACACAGCCGTCTACACCATAATCACCATAACTGGTGATGTCATTGCCACCACCACCATCCCCATCCATAACCACCAACTAAAAAAAAATTCAAAAACACAATTTTCACTACATGCAAGAACCACCGTGAATCAATCCCAAAATTTCTCAATGAATGCAAACACACCAATCAAATCCATAATTATATGAATCCAAGCAAATCCTCAAATCCCTCAAAACTAGCCCAAGATTTATTCGAATTCTACTACTCATCCATCCCCTAAGTTCCGCCACAACTCTTTCACATACAACCGAATCTTCCTTATCCTTTCCAAGTATTCATCCCTAGACCGATTCAATATGGTCCATCAGATTGTCAACAATGGTCCGACATGCGCAACAGTATCACCACAGTCAATATCTTGATCAGGGGGAGGGGGATATTCGGCGGTGATGTTGTTGGGAAACGTGTAAGTTTTGAAAACTTTTTAAGGGATTTTCATTCATAGATCATGATTTATCACATAGAGACAAGTTTTATCTAAAAATAAAATATGATGTATCATTTAATTAACAGATTGAATACTTACATCAATAGTCTAAGTAAACCTTTAAAACTTTCCTCTATAGTGAATTTTCTCACTTATTGTAGATCCTTTAGTAAGATGCCTTCTCCTTGGATCTCCATCTTCTTGTTAATTATTTTGCCTTTAGGAATCACTCATAAGCCTCCATGAATGACCTTGGAAAACTAGGCTTGTGGGAGTCTTCATTAGATGAGAACAATGACCCTAATTTTCTAGAAAGAGAAAATATATTTCTTTTTTCCTTCTTCCAAAAATCACCCCTAAAATATACATAGACCATGTATATATATAGGCAACATAAAGATAAAGAAAAGGAAACAATAAATCCTTCTCAATTTCTAATTCACATGTCTCAAATATAATATAATTCCAATATCAAGTTGGGTTATGAGTGAGAATCCTTTAGGTATATTATTTTATTGGCTACAATGAATTAATAATTGGCCCGGTCCATGGACTCAGTTCAATTAATTCATAAATTAATTTCTACTCCACTAAAAGAAATTAATTGAACTCCAATTAAATAATAAATAACCTCTAAGTCAATGTTGCACTTTGACCCCTCCATGCATAATTAGTTATCGGATAAATAAAGCCATCAATCCGACTACACAATTAATATATTTATTTTGGTACCATTGATTATTTCTGGCTCGTTTACAATAAAACATTAGTTTGACAAAAAATAATAATTTAAATAAATAAATATATAATAAATCATTTTGTCTAAAAACACACGAAGGCCTTCGAATTTATTTTGTGATCAACCATAATCAATACAAAATAAATACAAGTAGCAATTATCCAAATATTAAAAATATAACCCTTTAACTATTAATTACATAATTACCCAAAGTGCCGGTCTAAGGATTCCAAAGATTCCGCTGAATAAATCAAAGTAATTACAAATTAATAAAAGAGTCTATACTTCTCTCATGCTTAAGAGTTAAATACCATGACGGTGATAGAGAGCAATTGCATACGATGGCTCTCGCAATATATCTCAACCTAACGCGGATCCAGTTCAAGTCTTAATTAATTATGAGTCCATCCATAATTACCAATTATGAACCATTTATGATTAGTATTATATTCATGTATTGATCGCCATCACATACATATATAAATATCTCTTGTAATCAAATGGACACTATCAATTCTATAATAAATTGAAACATAATACATTAAATTCACCAATTATATAAATCATAAATATTTCAGATATTTCAGGAACATATGTCACTTTAATCCAGATAGGAATTTGTTATGCTAGGGCATATAAATCCCAACAGCTCCTGATGAGCGCTAAAAAGTGCGTATTTAAACCCCTTAAGCTTAGGTATTCTAGGACCTTTATTTATCGTATTTTACCATTTTGTATTGATTTCGTGTTATTTCCATTTTCAGGTACTTATCCCCAAAATAAGCTAACTCAGCCAAATAAGAGCATAATTGAAGCAATTCTGGGATGAATCAAAGAAAGGAGCAAAGTAGAGCAGAAAGGAAGTAAAGGGTGGAATTTCAGCAACTTCGATCAATCTCAAGAAAAGTTCGATCAATCCAACTTTCATCGATCTCAGCACTTCAAGATGGATCTGAGCCATGTTTGTCCCTGTTCAAAGATCCCACAAGTTCGATCGATCCAACTTTCGTCTCTGATCGATCGAACATTCTTGTCCTTATCCAAATGATTGATCTTATCCAGTTGTACTACCCCACTAACCGTTTTTGTCCTTTTCTAAAAAATATCTTCAAAATATCTCAGATTTGTTTTATCCATAAAGGCGCCGCCATCGTGCTCAATCCAGCTTAAGTTCAATAGATCTCAGCCATGTTTGATCGATCCAAGTCCAAGGTTTGATCGATCGAACTTCCTCCAGTGCGAAAAAGTTAAATTTCCAGCTCATAAAAAGTTGTCCTTTATCTAATCATTGGGGAATATTTGTTGTACGACCCCAGCTCATTTTGGATGTCATTTGACCTACCTATATAAGGATAAGGATTACTTTTTACATCATATCATATCATACTTTGTAGAACTCTTAGGGAGGAAATAAAGAAGAAGAGGAGGTTAGAGACACTATTGGAGACTCTTCATCAACCAAGGAGCAGATTTCTTCTATGGAACTTGCCCTTGAGGGTTGGAGGACATCATCCATAAGTGGCTAGGCATCCTCTTGGGGCTAAAGTTAGCCCTAAGCTTGCTTTCTACTTCTTGATTTAAGTATTTTTGAGGGGATTTGTATTGTGATTCATGTCTTGACACTCTTCTATATATAGATCTTGTTTATTCAATGATTTATGTGGTTTAATACTTCCAATTGATCATTTCATTCTATCCATATGTCTATGTATGCTAGATTAAATATTCATGTGTTTGTCTTTATTTCTTGTGTTATTGATGCATGTCTATGTGTATTGATGCTATAGATCTAGAAATTGTCAAGACATAGTGCTTAATGTCATGTTCTTGTGGTTTATTTGATGGTTCATACTCATTGCTTGATGGATTGTACCTCTCCTTTAGTTTAATTAGTTTAATTTCATGTCATTAGCTTAGTTGTAGTGTAATTGTTAAATGGGAGGACAATCCATGCTTGTTGTTGATGCTCCATACTTATGAAAAGCAAGTAACATGTATCTCTAACCTTGTGATGTGTTTGAATTGTGAGCTTAAAAAAAGGATTAATGGTTTAATTTGATATGTTGTGCTATCCACCATGTTGTTTAGACAATATATGCTTAATTTGTCATCCATGCTTGTTGAAACAACCACACATACACACACTTTGTTGTAATACATGTTCTTCCCCTCATTAATCATTCATTAAAGGTATAGAAAAGCTATGCTTAGTGGTGATCTCTTAACCCCAAGATCTCTCTCTCTTTTATTCTCTCTATTGTATTATTGTTTACTTTAGTTTAATTTGCATCTAGTTTAATTCAATCAACCAACCACTATTTTGATCACTCGACCTACTAACCCTAATTTTGATTCCTCAACCTAGTACGACACCTCAATCCCTTGGGACAATCCCTTCTCACTCATACTACATAGTATAGGTGTTAAGCGGTTTATAAATTTAAAGTATGATGCCCACTTGACACTAATTTCCAAACTCAAAGTGTTGTGCATTATTTTGTGCACACGCTCAGCTAAGACATCATAATTTTGGTGCCATTGCCGGGGATTGATTGATTGGCAATATCATATTTGTGGAATCAATTAGGAATTAGTACTCTTTTGATCGTGTCTTTACTTTGTTTTCAATTTTGTTACTTATTGTGTTTGTTCTTGTTTGACAAGGAGCATTGGGCTAAGAAGGTGAGCAAAAGAGTATTCTAAGCAAAAGAGCTAAGCAAGCAAGGAAAAATACTAAAAATCTAAAAATTTGCTAAGCTAAGCTAAAAATTTGGTGTTAAAGTGCTAAAGGACCCTCGTGAGCTTCTTTTTACTCAAACTCTTAGTTAAATCGTCGGCCCGCGTGGAGGCTTGTATTTCAATTCTTAGATAAATCGTGAGCCCACGTGGAGGTAATTTACTTTTCTTGCATATTGTTGATAGCACGGGAGTATTGTGGAGGAAGTTTGTTGATTGTTGATTTGTTGTGAAGGAGAAGTGCTTGCTTGTTTTGTTGTGTTTTGTGTGTCACTAGAAGTCTTGGATAGTCATTGTCATATCACTCGTCCTAGGCATTCACATGGAAAATCTAGAGGATAATCTTGGCTACTTAGACCCACGTTTCATGCAAAACCCACCTTTTAATCAACATGGCCCCGGAGTTCAAGCTCTAATTCTTCCAATGGTCCTTCGTGATCGTTACAATCTTCATGCATATCATGCACCTACTTGTATTGTGTTGCCTAATTTTGAAGCAAATCAATATGAAATCAAGCCCGAGACTATTCAAATGTGTCCACTCTTTTATGGCTTAGATGATGAGTAACCCTATAAACATCTTAATGAATTCTTTGAAATATATTCCACCGTAAGATATATGGATGTCCCGGAGGAAGTTCTTAGGCTACTTCTCTTCCTTTTCACACTAAAAAATAAAGCAAAGCATTGGTTTAATACTTTGGGGGCAAATTCAATAACATCTTGGGCACAAATGCACAATGAATTTTTGAAAAAATTTTGCCCCATAAGTTTGACTAATGTAATGCGTGCTTCAATTAGAGAATTTTCTTAAAGGAAAGGGGAGTGGTTACATGAGGCTTGGGAAAGATTGAATGAATTGCTAAGCAAATGTTCACATCATGGCATTCCGAAATGGCAAGTGGTTCAATATTTCTATGAGAGCCTATCCGACATTCATAAGGACATACTCGATACATCATGTGGAGGATCATATTTTGGAAAACATAAAGATGACATATGGCACCTCTTTGAGAAAATGAGCGAAAACTCTTTGCAAAAATATTATACTTCTCGATTTAACCATAGTTCAAAGGAAAAGAAGAGAGATTTGCAAGTATGTCAAGTAGAGAGTCCATTAGAGATTGTAGCCG